CACAAACACAAAGAAAACACTGGATTTTGTGGATCCTTTTAACTGAAGTACTGCACTTTCTGGACTAAAAGGTGCACCTGTACTGTATATAAGCCACACCGCCTAAATAAGAAAATCAAATGTCTACATATAGTCCGCACTTGAATATAAGCCACAGGTTTTCATGTTGTAATGTAGCAGAGAGACGACTATTTTAACTGGACACAAACATGACTCCATGACAAGCTCAACCGTCAAATCTTTCATAATGTTCTCAGCTTCACAACAAGATACTACTCAAGCCCCGGTGAATCAATGGCTTGTGCTCAGTAGCGCATGGGACTTCACAGGGAACGAAAGATTAGCGGAACTTGCTCCCGGTTCTGCGCAGTGGACTAGCTCCCATGATGCTTTGCGCAAAATACGCTTGTGAGGCTCTCATACACGTGCACAAAGGGGCTCGGCCGCGCTTTGACCAATCAGAGCTGGTTATCAGAGCGGAGTTAGAGCCCTGATTTAAAGACTAAAAATAGTTGGAAATGGAAATGTCACTACATTTTTAGACCAAACCATAGCACAGAGACTGCCCTAATTAAAGTGGTAAATGACATACGTTTGAACACGGACGCTGGCAAAGTCTCAGTGCTAGTTTTATTAGATTTAAGTGCAGAATTTGATACTGTGGATCATGAAATCCTTTTACAGAGACTGGAGAACTGGGTGGGGATCTCTGGCATGGCTCTAGAGTGGTGTAGGTCCTATCTAGAGGATAGAATGTACTATGTTGAGATTGGAAATTGTGTTTCAGACCACATTGCCTTGACTTGTGGAGTACCACAGGGGTCAATCCTAGGACCTCTGTTATTTAATCTTTACATGTTACCACTTGGCCAGTTAATTCACAATGAAAATGTTTCTTATCACAATTATGCTGATGATACTCAGCTCTACGTCTCACTAACTTCAGGAGAATATGGACCATTGGACTCACTCTGCCATTGTATCCAGCAAATCGGTGTGTGGATGCAAAGCAATTTTCTGCAACTTAATTCGGATAAAACAGAAACAATTGTCTTTGGACCTCAGAAGCAAAGAGAAACTGTCACCAGTTACCTGCAGTCTCTCTCCCTGAAACCTGTAAATCAGGTTAGAAATCTTGGGGTAGTCCTGGACACAGAGCTGAATTTTCAGCGGCACATAAATTCAATAACATCAGTGGCTTTTTATCATTTAAAAAACATTTCCAGAATCAAAGGTATTGTGTCTAAACCTGACTTAGAAAGACTTATCCATGCTTTTGTCTCCAGTAGGTTAGACTACTGTAATGGCCTGTCTCACAGGTCTCTCCAAACAGGCTGTAAAGCAGCTGCAGTACATCCAAAATGCAGCGGCTCGAGTCCTGACTGGAACCAGGAAGTACGACCACATTAGTCCAGTTCTTAAGTCTCTGCACTGGCTTCCTGTGGCTCAGAGAGTTGATTTTAAAGCAGCTCTACTTGTGTATAAGTCTCTTCATGGCCTCGCACCACAGTATATTCGAGAAATGTTAGCGCCATATGAGCCGGCTAGGACACTGCGGAGCACAGGGACTGGCCTCCTGCTGGTGCCTAGGGTCAGGACTGGACATGGGGAGGCGGCATTTCAAATTTATGCAGCCAGAATTTGGAACAGTCTCCCTGAGCTGGTGAGACAGGCCTCGACCCTGGCAATGTTTAAGTCCAGGCTGAAAACTGTCTTATTCAGGTATGCATATGACTAATCTGAAGTATCCATCCATCCATCCATGTTCGTAACTTTTAACTTTTTATTACAATATTTTATATGCATATACACTGTTTTTTTGCTTGTGAAGCACTTTGGGTTACACTGTATGAATTGTGCTTTATAAATAAATTTGATTGATTGATTGATTGATTGATACATGATGCAGTTGGAGAGAAAATCTAAAGGTGAGTTTGAGGTCGCACAGTTAGTCAGCAGCGGTGAGGAGCCGCCGCCACGGACAAAACCCACGGAAAACAAAACAATGTTATCAGATGCAATGTTTCTGCTTCAAATCGAGGATGGAAGCTTTGTTTAGAACCACAAAAACTAAACAATCATGTGAGTTTAAATAGTGTTGCATCATATTGACCCGGTGCTATTGGATAAACCCTTCCCCCAACATTGATCTGCGAGCTCACTGAACTAATCAGCCTCATGCCACTGTATCAGTCCTCCCAGAGTTTCTCTCAGAGTTTCTCTCAGAGTTTCTCTGGATTCCAACTGCTTTTTAGTTTGCAGTCACTTTCATTTAGATCTTTGATGTGCAGCTGGTACAGGAATCCAGGATTCTTGCATGAAAAAAATCTATGTATTGAGTTTTCTGACCCGTTTGTTTTGCCTCATGATCTTCTACTTAACTGCGAGACAAGAACTAAGAACCTCCAGCTTCTGACAAAGATCAAACTAATTGTCTATTGTCCATTCTCTGAAGCTGCATTTTACAACGAGGACTTTTACATTGTTCTACTGCTTTAATGTTCTATTTTTTTTACTAACTTTACCAGCTGCAATTAGTTCTACTATTGTTCTATACTTAGATATTTAATACTTGCTTCTTTATTTTGCTAATTTAATTATATTTAGATTTTATTTTAGAATAGAGTTATTGTTCACTTATCTTGTGCTGTGTGCTCCTCATTCCTACTGTTCTGTAACTGGTGATGCAACACTGACATTTCCCCACTGTGGCACAAATAAAGGATCTTAATCATTGTGGTCTGCAAAAGTAAAATATCATCTGTAAATGTGAAACCCCATGACTGCTGCTGACTACAGTGTATATCAGTGACGTGTGGTGAGGTTTGTGATTTGGGATTCACTGACTCTAAAAGTCAGATTTACAATCGTTATTCTAATAAAAAACATTAATTTGCCAATGCAATAACGTCCACAAACAGCTTATTATAATAATCCCACAACAAATCCAGCTGCTGACGCTCTGCTCTGTATCACACAACATCTTTGAGAAGCACAGGCGGGAGAGACCTGAGGAGAGAGAGACCTGAGGAGAGAGAGACCTGTGGAGAGAGAGACCAGAGGAGAGAGAGACCTGAGGAGAGAGAGACCTGAGGAAAGAGAGACCAGAGGAGAGAGAGAGAGAGACCAGAGGTGAGAGCGAGAGACCAGAGGAGAGAAAGACCTGAGGAGAGAAAGACCTGAGGAGAGAGAGACCAAAGGAGAGAGAGAGAGAGACCAGAGGTGAGAGAGAAAGACCAGAGGAGAGAAAGACCTGAGGAGAGAGAGACCAAAGGAGAGAGAGAGAGACCAGAGGTGAGAGAGAGAGAGACCAGAGGAGAGAGAGACCAGAGGAAAGAGAGACCAGAGGAGAAAGAGAGAGAGACCACAGGAGAGAGAGACCTGAGGAGAGAGAAACCTGAGGAGAGAGAAACCTGAGGAGAGAGCGAGAGAGAGACCTGAGGAGAGAGACTTGAGGAGATAGAGACCTGAGGAGATAGAGACCTGAGGAGTGAGAGACCAGAGGAGGGAGAGACGTGAACAAGAACATGAACAAGAACTTAAACAAGTTGCAGTTTTTTAGTGGTAGGGAAAACTGGAGCACCCGGAGGGAACTTACGCAGACACAAGAAACACAGGCAAACTCCACACAGAATGGCCCTGTTCCAACCGGGATTCGAACCCAGGACCATCTCGCTGATAAGCGATAGTGCTATCAGCCACCGTATTGCCCATTAACATCTCTATGGCAACAAGCAGGTAGCAGTCGCCATCAGAACGCACTGTCATCTTTAATACGGCAAGACAGACAGCAGTGATGAGTTTAAAGACCTGCATTAAAGGTAAAAGCACTGAGTCATAGACCTTCCATAGCTCCAGACAGACAGATGGTCACAGAGAGAGAGCCTTTGGCTTTGCTCCAGGCTGCGTCTGCGTCTGCCGAGCTCTGTCTACAGACTGAAACACTCTCTGACCTGCTGACTGTCCATTAGAGCTGTGTTCTTTAATGGCGGGACATAGGCGTCACTGTGACAGAGGGCACAGAGTCACGGCCTCCTGGCGAATGAGGAAAGCAGCTCGTTTTAAACCCAATCGTCGTCCGCTCTTCATTAGATTCATGTCACGCTCCGGTACAGCCCCGCAGCACTGAGCTCTCTCATGCAGGGAGACACAGCAGCTACATGTACTTATTGCTACTTTTTTTTTAAATCTCTTTTGAAAGTAGCCATTATTGCGCTAATGTAATGTAACTTTAGCATGGACATGAGGACTGGTGGCAAACAAGATTGTACTCGAAAAGATTTAGCAAGAACTTTTGTACCACCCGCGACAATTACTGCTAAATATGTATACTTGTTATTAAAATTGGAGTATTCTGCGATACCTGCGGAGTGACCACAATCAGTTCACTGCTATTGTATACTTTAGAGCAGGGGTGGGCCATCATTTTCTCCAGGGGCCACATTGGGCATGTTGTGAAGGGTTGGACTCGTCTTCGTGTGTTTACCATTTCATTTAGTTTGAAACAACAATTGAGTCTAAAGTGCTTCAGTAACATGTGATATTTGATAAACAACAATATTTACAGAAGAGAAGGAGAGGTAGGAGTAGCTTATCACCACTGTGTATGGAGTGAAAGAAAAATGAGTGTCCAAAAAGAACTATAAAAGATCCTTTCCTTCTCCCATAATAAGGAAAGTTCAGGGTTGCATCACAAGTTACAGAACAGTAGGTATGAGGGGCACACAACTCAAGATAAGTGTTATATGCTTGTGTTATACTCCTTATATAAAATTCTATACTATTAAAAAGAGATATTTCTAAAGCATTGATTAAAATATGAAGGCTTTGGGGATAGTAGACAGTTTGGAATTGGATTGAAAAGGGCCACATGAATTGGGCCGTATTTGGCACTCGACCCGCGTCTTGCCCTGGTCTGCTTTAGATGCTGTTTGTACCACTCTATTCATAAGTTGTACGTCTTGCAACAGCTGTTTTAAAGTAACGTTTTAAAGACTTACGGGATCCAGTGGTCCACAGAGCTGTCGGAACGCTGTCGGAGCATCGGTGCCATGGATCTCTAAAACCAAACAGGGCCCAGAACACAGCTCGGTCACCATATTCTGTGAGAGGAAAACACAATGACCTCTCCAAGCATCTGCAGACAATGTGTATCCAGGCAGCCACAAAACATTCTCTACAGAGTTGGAAACGGAAGAAAACAATTGAGAGAAATCAAACACTTGTGAGGCTTATCTGGAACATGCATGTGGTGTTGTTTTGGCAGAATAAAGGTCAGAGTTTGATTACATTTTCGGGAAAGGTCAAGAGGCACAAACATGTCCATGGTGATGATGGGGATGGTGCTATTAGTCATATGAATACCTTCTTACTAAGTCATGTTACATGCTATAGGGTTAGGGTAATAGGGCTATGTTCTCAGTTCCTATAGTAATTTACATTTTAAAACTCAACAATTTAACATTTCGGAAACAGCCATAAAAAGTGGCATACAAACAGGAAGCTTAATCCCAAGTCTGTATAAGTGTATTTTATAATGTATCTACTGCAGCTACAACACATCCATGACCTCTTTTTATGAGCTATTGGCAAGGCAAGTTTTTATTTGTAAAGCACAATTCATACACAAGGCAACTCAAAGTGCTGAACAAAACAAGATAGAGACACTAAAACATAAAAACACAATAAAATCATAAATAATCACTGTACATTAAAACAGAACTGTTTTAAACCTGGATTTTCAAAGAAGAAGCCTGTCTCACATTTTAGCTGCATTATCTAAGCAAAGTTACACAAAGCGAAAGAAATATTCTCAGTTCCCACTGCAGGCTTCTTTTGGTCACTGCAAGTTGGGCACAGATTTTAATAATTTTAATAATAATTAGAAGATGGTAATATTTATCAACCCAGGAGCTAAACTGCGTGTGCAAGCATGTGCAATTTGAGTGGTTTGATCGTATCTCTGCATGATCCTTTTGCTCAAATGTTGGTACATTTTGCACACGCACAAACCCATGATAAACATACCCCTTCATGCGGCGATGCGATGTGTTTATGCCCTGTCCTGCTCAAATGAATTGTCCCTGGCAGGATAAATTATATCTGAATCATGTTACGCACGTCTCGACTAAACAGCAACGATTGGTTAGGGCAAAAAAAAGGCTAATTGAGTGAATGAATCATAACTTTGCGATGTCAGATGGTTTTAGACTGTCAAACTGTACAATGAGGACTGCTGAGCCTGTACATATTCTTCATCTGTAAATAGTCAATACTGTAATTCTGTGCAATGCAGCCATTTCAGAATGTCCACCGACAGTAGTTTTACCTACTTATCCTGCCCTATATGTATTCAACTTTGCAATTATTATTAACATAATTAACTATATGTATTTAGCTTTAAATATAGCTATAGAGCAGCAACTTACATTGTGTGCTCTTACTACTATCCTGTATATGTGCTGCAACATTGAAATTTGTCGTTTTTCACGTGTGGGACGAATAAAGGATCTGTTATCTTATCTTTCTGTGAAGTGAAATAAAACGGATGCGTTAGGCGTACAGCTTTAACCCAGAACCAAGAAAATGTAGCGATGATGTAGCATTTATGGACATAAACATTTATCAACATTGTTCAATCATCCCCTTTGGATCAATGGCTCCCATGTGTTTGTTATCATAGTCATGTGATACTTACTGGGTACTCTGGAACCACGCCTTTGTAAACCTCCAAAAACTCTTCTGCGTTTGCTCGTTCCACACTGAACTGTAAACACAATCAAATCAAGAAACAAGTCAAAGAAGACTCCAACCTTCTGTATAGAGGCAACTATGGCCCGCTGATTAGCGATGATATAAAAGAACATGCAAAGTCAAATTATCAAGTTATTATCCTCCAGTGCATTAATTCTGAACATGCGCGGACAGACAGTGGAGTGATAAAGGCATGATTGATTTCTTTTTGTCCCCTCACAGCTAATGCAGCAAAACGAATGGAGTGTGAGGGGTCACTGTCTGCTCTGATGACGGAGGCTGCGGTCGATACACAGTTCATATTAGTTACATGTACGACAGACCAGCTCTTCCACTAACTCACACGACAGAGGCCAGGCGATAATCTATAATATCACAGAAATGTTCCATTACTTTGGTTGACAAAAGCAGGATGTTTCCCCTATTGAGCGGTGGGAGAGGGATTGAGCAATATGGCTAGTATGTTTTAGCATTATTACATTCAGAAAGATCAAAATGTAATATTATTTATTAGAGGAGATGTACTACAGTGATCTGTGCGGATTTTTAAAGATGTGTTTCAACATTGTTACCTCATCAAAAACAAACCAGGAGCTGTTTTTAGATTTATCCATGCTTCTGAAACTTCTGGAACAAACAAACTCTGCTCCTTCTCCTGTCTCAGTCTTGTAATTGTATGATGTCATTGTACCACTATGACAACCCACTCAGAGCAGTTTTCTGTCTTTTTAAATCAACAGTTTTACCCTAAAATAGTGTTGTCAATTTATCAAGTGAGTTATCGGCTGCATTCCGTTTTTGCAGCCGATCATTTTCAAGATTAAAAAAATAAGACATTTTTAAGCATTTAGCATAGGGAGTTACAGGTGGGAAGCCTTGTTTACACCTCATACTCGTTTCACCAAAGTATATTTACTTTAGATTAGACTGGAACAAACTGAGAAGGGGGTGTTTTTAGATCCGTCCACGGTTCTGGAATTTCTGGAGGAACCAACAAGAAAAATAAAACTGTTTGGATTGGGAATAGGATTCAGGCTGTTCTGGGATCTAAAATGGGGTATGAAATTATGCCCATATTGATTCGCAACACAATGTCAAAAAAACCATTTCAGTGGATACACAATCATACAGTAGACACACATCATTCTCACCATTTCAAGTGCTGATATTTCGAATCCAGCCAATGTTATGGAGTTGAGGATCTTCCCAGCGAGACCTGTGTAAAAACATACAAGTCATTTATCTTACGCCTTGTTCAGACAAGGCGTTTAGTGCCACAACAAACCCATCAACGGAATCCTCAAACAGATAATCATTGATAGAGTTTGACAGTTGGAATTCTCCATCAGTATATTAAGAACATGTCACAGACACTTTTACAACAAGTGACAACAATATTAAGTAGCTGCACTATAATAAACTATAATAAATGATTGAGTTTAAAGCAAGGTCAAAAATCAAGATCCATACACGATTTAAAGGACATAAAAATACATAATAGAACATAAAAAGTCCAGCATTCAAAACGGATTTGTTATGAAGCCTCTATGGACCAAGATTACATGTTCTGAATGTGCCCTAAGAATCCTTTGGCAATACAACAGAACATGAAAAGGAACAATCCACAATGAGAAACTTCACAAAGTTTCTCAAAATGTGGCTTGTGAACAATTAAAGCAACAGTCATTTTTTAATGTTTTTTAATGTTTTACACAAACACTCACATACAGAAGAGAATAATATAAGTAAATCAAATAATGAACAATCAAACAATCATTGGCCCGTACGAACAATGGTATTTTTCACCTCACAATCGAAATGCCCGTTTAACAAAAGCCGATATCTCCAGCCCGACATACATTAAGAAAAGTCTATTGAAAAACCTCGTCCCTGTGAACCGACAAGTCAAATGGTCAAGGAAAATATCGCAAAAAATAGTTACAGTATATGCCACTGTGTCCTTGTGGGAACTTCAATTCCGAAATCCAGTTATCCAGCAAACACTTCCTAGCACAAAAAGTCAGCATTTGATAGAATTTCAAAGCTGCAGTCTCTTGTGAACAAATAAGGAAGGGGGTTCTAAGGAAAGTGGTGATGAATCAGGACACTCGACATTCAACGACATTTATGGACATTGGTCTCTTGTTACTTATGAGCCAATGGCTCAATGTGTTTTTTTATGCATTTCCTGTGTTTGGACTGTTTGATGCTCTGATCTGTGTTGGCGAATCGACAGCTTTGTGAAGTCCTCTGAGATAACTAACTGTTGTGATTTAGGGCTATACAAAAATAAATTGAATTGAATAATCTGTGCATGTTTGTAATGTCCAGTATTGTTCAGTATTGCTCAGTTTTTATGTTTTTGCTTTTACTAACCTGCTTTATTGATGTCTGTATGTAACTTTTAATAAACGTTGCTATATTTGTTTGTGGATGGCTGTAAATTCAATCTGCCCTGGTACTACGGATGGACTACTATATCTGGAATATTCACATAATGTTGACTATGGTGCACTGTCCCATTCACATAAACAAACAAATACGTATTTAAGAAACAGCTCTTCGGGGATATTGTGTTCAAATGTATGCCTGTCTTTTATATCAACACTAGGACTAGGTTAAGTTTTCCACCAGATTTCTAAAAGTTACATTTACTCACTTTTAATAAGTGTTAAAAATTGTGATTATAATAGCAAAAACAGTTGAAACGCTACCAAATGCTAAAATCTGACAAGTAAACGGTGTGTTGCTATGGTAAATATAAACCGTGTGCTACTATGGTAACTATGGTCACTTCTCTGGTGGAAAACCAAAATGACTCGGCTCAGAAACAGTCCAGGATCTTGAAAAATGGATCATCTAAATGAAATTTCATAAAAACAAATGGCACAGATAGAACAAATACATATATATATATTATACTGTATATACATATATATATAGGAAAAGTCAAAAAGCACTTCAGAAACTAAAAGCTGTCAAATTGACTGCCCTGGGAGTTCTAGTATGAATGAAAGCTTATGGTAAATAGGTAGTGTTTTATCATCATGGCTGGTGTGTTTCCAAAGATAATAACAAATAAAAATATGATTGATATGGGTTATTTGGCATTATGTAAATAGTAATTGGATGAAAAGAGGTGATGCAAGGAAATAATGATGGAAAAAAATAGGAAAAGTGTGTACCTAATCTAAAATTTTCCATGTTTAATTTTCCTTAGTGGTGGACACCTCAGAAAGTAGCACACTATGTCCTGCCTTATGTCCTTCCTATTAAAGGGGAGGGCAGTCTTTTATTTTTAGCCGGGCCTTATTTCAGGACTCCTAGGGCTCACAGGATGTCGCTCTGGTCACTGGGGTCGGGCGTTACACTAGAACTGGTGCGTCCTCCTCGGACAGCGGTGCCACAGTGAAGGTCAGAGCAGACAAACCTAATTGAACGAGGGGCGCCAGTCTCATAAGCTCCGTCTGACACAGTGATAAACCACAGACTCTCCAGGGGCCAAACTCTGCCCTACTGTAGCTGCTATTACATTATAGTATCATACAGTTCCTGTATGGATTGTAACCATGTATTCCACGTCCACTTTAAGTTATGGTTTCAACCAGTTGTGTTCGAATCTTGGGAGGGACACTTCCCCAGGGCTGAAAAACCTCATTCCTATTGTTTGGACCGGACTGTTCTGTGCCTGAGGTAGGACATAATATCCATATTGACTCACATTTGATGGAGCTGAAGCTGGCTGAATGACAAATCTTTACCTTCTCACTACATTAGCATTAGATACATTCTAAAAGAAAACCAACTCCAAAGTCATGTACCAATAGAACATTGTGGCACCTTTAGAAAGACCTGGAAATGAAATCAATGAGCTGCCATTCATAATACTATTATCTATTGTATGTTTTTATATAACTGAACATATTAATGTTTTATATAAAGTTTTGAGTGTTGTTTTGTGAATGCCTTTATGCCAGGACACTTTAGGAAAAAAGATCTTTGAATATCAATGGGATTTTCCTGGTTAAATAAGGATGAAAAAAAAAAAAAAAACTGGCAAAATGTATCGCAAACACAGCTACTTTATGTGTGATGTAAAGGTTATGAGCTTAACAGCCTATATTGGCAGGGCTTAAGTTGGCTGGATTGGCTACTTTGGGTGTGCAAGGCAGGGGGCCATACAACAGACAGCCATACAACATGACACAGAGGGACTGACCTTGGACAAGCCTGGTTAAAACAAATACGTTATGAAATGCTAGCACAATTAGTTAGAAAACCAGGACAAGGGGGGTTGCCAGATTAGGAGTAGAGATTCCCCATCCCCCGCCCTGCTACTGAAACTTTAGCTTGGAGCGTAGCTGGCGAGATGCAAGATTTGTTGAATAAACGTCAATTGACCCTAACTCTTTCCTTTTCAGTCTCAAAGCAGAATGAGTGAATATGACAATATTGATGCATTATGTTGTTCTAACTGTAAGCACATGAACAGATTGAAGAATTTCCTGACCATGAAGCACGCGACCTGATGTCCTGCTGCAGCCATCTGTCTCCATTATTCACTTCACAGTAGATTTTCTTCTTCTGACTCTGAATAGTTTAGAATTCTACCCACCCCTCACTTAACATTAGATTGCATGAAACAAAAAAGCATCAATTCAATTAGGTTAGAATAAAGTGAGCTAACTCGGACTCTGAGGAGCACAGGGACTGGCCTCTTGCTGGTGCCCAGAGTGCCATGACTAAACATGAGGAGACAATATTTCTGGTTTATGCAGCTAAAATATTACTGAAAATGTGAGACAGGCTTCTTCTCTGACAATGTTCAAATCCAGGTTAAAACAGTAGATATGAAGGATATGCTGAAGGATTTTATCTTCACTGTTTTTGTATGAACTGTACTGTGATTATTTATGATTTCAATGCCTTATGGCATTCTAATATTTCTTTTCTCATTTTGTTCAGCACTTTGAGTTGCCTTGTGTATGAACTGTGCTATACAAATAAACTTGCCTTGCCTTTTACACATACAGTATAAACAGATAAAAGGGAAATATAATAAATGGTGAAAAAGTCCTTATGTACTGCTATTACTATTCAACGCCCCCTTGAGAGTCCTCTGGCACATGAAGGACACACACAGACACTACACATACACCCCCACAGACTATACACACAAACACACAGACACTACACACACACACGCACCCACTCACAGACACTACACGCACACACGCACCCACTCACAGACTATACACACAAACAGGCTACACACACACAGACTATAAACGCAAACACACACACACACACACACACACACTCACACACAGGCTACACACATGCACACACACACACACACACACAGACTACAACACGCGCACACACACACAAACACTACACACTTTCCAAAATCAGCTGGTGTTGTTGCTATAGTGACAGTGTTCTGGAGCTTGGCAACAGAAGCTCGTCTATTCCAGTCATGTCTCGCGGTTACGTCACTGCGTCATGTCACCTCTCACCATCGCACAAGTAATGGCCGGTAATGCAGTGATTCCCAACATGAGGTACGCTGACTTCTGGCTAGCCATACCAGAAGATACTTACACTTATGGTACATTTATGTGTGTGAAGGGAAAGGTCTCTGTAGATGAACATATATCCTTAAGAATGCATTTGGGGAACCATACAGATAAGCGAACCGGTAAAGACTAGAAAATACTCAGACCTCCGTTAAGAGGCGCAGTTCCATAAAAGAAAATCCAAAAGGATGTTCCAGTCCTATTTTGTAAAAATCAGCCCATAACTTTGTGTTGAAACAAAAAGGTGTAAAACCCTGGTGAAATTGTAAACCCCTTAAGAGAGGAAATTCAATTAAAGCCGCAAGCGGCGTCGAACGGCCCTCGCCGCACCGCGCAACTCCCCGCACCGCGCGCACCACCCCGTGACAAGCCACCCCGCACCACGCCGCCCTGCACCACGCCGTCCCCCATCACGCCGCCCCGCACCAAGCCACAACGCGCCGCCCCGCACTACGCCCCAAACTACGCCGCACCACACCGTACCACGCAGCACCGCTCAAAGGAGGTGGCGCCGCCGTGTGGTGATTTGTTCCCATAGCCATAGAAGATTGTTAGTCAAATTGTAATGAATATGATAAGTAGAGCTGGTTTGGCTCCCCATGTAAACTTTGACTCAGTCTGCAGGGGGCGCTAATGG